TTTCATAGCATGGCAGGCTATATATATTTTGAGAATGTAGGCTTGAGGATAAAGTAAAAAAAAAAATAAAAAATAAAAAAACAATATGGAGAAAATAGAAAATTTCGACGGTATCTGTATTAGCAGTCACTATGTAAAAGTAATAGTTGCTTAACTGGAGGCTCTTTTTACTTGCTAAGCTAGGTATACCAAAAAAATTGAGATTTTTTATAATTTTAGGGAGCTTCTACATAAGTATCGTGGTTCGGATAGGAGAGTACTAATTGATATAAAATAAACCCAATACGATATTTCCGATTCCAGTATACGGTGATCAAACTTAAGAAAAGTTCAAACTGTTTAAACGAACGTCAAGAAAGGATTGATTGAAATAGAGACATAAGCAGGTTTTCCGGTTCCGGTATATGGTAATCGTACTAAGGAAAGGTTTAGAGATTTGAAACGTCAAACTTTTAAAAGAACGGTGAACGAACTAAGGAAAGTTTAAAAGAGTCCAAGCTCAATACTCTTAAGCAAAGGAGGGTATTATGAGTAATATCAATTTTTCTTTATCTGATTATTACATAAAACCTATTCTTCGCAACCACAATGTACAATTTGAAATCAGATTGTATTACTCTATCAATAGAGTTCTTTCTAAGCGTTTTTGTAACAGTTTTGTTTCAAAAATTGGTCACGAGTTTACTTCAGAATGAATAAGCAAACAATCTCTTTTAGAAGCATAGCCTTTATTCCAAATAATCGGAGGGATATTTTGAACTTTGGAAGCAGCAAGAAAATTATTTGCGATATTTTTAGCTACCGGTGCAGCCTTTTGTCACTGCTTAATGTCTAAAAAAGACCTCCAGTGATACATTGATAAACAATTCCTCTTTTCCGATTCCCAAATAAGTAAAAATTATACAATATAGCAGAGTTGAAGACATTCGATTGGCCAACACTGAAATGTTGAAACCATATGGCACATACAAATCGTACAAACTATTTATACTCTATGAATGTAATGGTTAAATGAAAATGAAGTGTTTGGCTTTCTGAACAAGCAATTGCGGTACGTTTTCGCAGCAATACTTAAATTTATTAAAAACCTCTAGTTTATTGGAAGAAGATCGGTGGTGCTTATCAACCAATTATTGTCATAAAATGAATTTAATTCAGGGCTTTGAGCAGCTCATTGTAAGGTCTCTATCCACTTTTGATACAAATATTCTTTCCAAACCTAATTTTATGTTTCCGATCATATATATTATATAAAGCTAACTTGTAGGCCATTTTTTGTGCTGATCTAGGCTCTAAATTTGTACTCAGCATCTGCTTATAGGATTTCTCAGTCATTTTGCTTTTACTAATTTGATAATAGTATGGACCACTTAGCTAAGGCAACCCCAAACTAAAACATTTCACCACCAATTTTTATGTAGCTTTGGATGCTCTTATTTTGTAAACTCGCCTGATTCTTGCAACAAACTTTTATTTATGATTTGGAAGCTCTTACTTAACCTCTAATGATTCTTAAACCTTCTTTTCTACCCGTTTTTCTTATTTTTTACACAAATTTGCACTCATCACTCCAAATTACTTTTATTCAAAAATATAAAATATAATAATTTTTGACAAATTCCAAGCGTGCCTTCAAGTTCTTTCATGATGATGAAAAGAGCCACCTTCTTGATGTCTACGCCGAAATATTGATCTGAAAGCACTGCTGAATAAATCAAGCTGAAACCGTAGCGCATTTGTTCAATTCTCAGATTATGTTAGTATCTTCACGAGCAGAGTTTGTCCTTGATCGGTCTGAAAAATGCAAGATCGACGAAGTTTAGAATATTTTTCAGCGATTTTTTCGTAAACAGTGGGGTTTCCGTTTTGTCGGGTAATGTAATGAATGTAAATATAGAAGTCATAAAATATATATTTCATATTTTAATGTCAAATATAGTCTACTACAAAAAGTAACATACAAAGAGTGATATAAAAACACATGACATTGCTGAACAAGTGCTCTTTGTACTCTTTTGTAACAAATGATATTATAAATTATACTACCTTAACTTTGTTAGCAGACAAGCAAGCACTTCACGATCTATAAAGACAGTAGAGCAGTACTTAAATCTACTAGGGTCACACTACCTTTTCTGCGCTACCGAAATGACTGGCAGGTAAACAAAAAACTGCAAAGCTCAACAGGACACTTTCATTATTTTTCATAAAATTTAAGTGCCTACTTTTCTATTAAGCACAAAAAAGCAGTTTGCGTAAAAATAAAAAAAGTAAAAATAAGAATGCGCGCGAAAAAGCACAGAAAATTACATTTCATACAATTTAAACTGCCTGTGTACACACACACCTACATATTCACGTTTGTCTAGATAATGCTTGAGGAAAGCTTTCAGCAGCATCCAAAGCGTTTATGAAGGGAATTAGCGAAATAAAAAAATTAAAAAATAGAAAGCAAATTAAAGCTAATGCAAAAACAACCAAAAAATACGCAACAGTAGCAAGCACAACAACAACAGCAAGTATACATAGTTAAAGCAAGACTTTATACACACGCGCATTGCTGCTTTGGGGAGTGCAGAAAATTGTGTCAAGGTTGTTGCTGGCCGACAGCACGTTGCATGCCACATGCGCGCTCGCATGTGAAGCAATATGTCTAACTCGCTAATATGTGGGCTAATATGTGTTTGCGTGTGCGTGTGTGGGTGACTTTGCTAAAAATTGCAGGTAACATAAGCGCGCTCACTTGCTTGCATAAATTATGCTTTGTGCATATATTTGCGTTTGTATGAGTATAGTTGTTGCTTTTGTAAGCTACTTGGCTTATTAAATTTACAACAACAAAGCTAATGTTTTTTTAATTCATCTTTAGGTGTACCCAAGGCAATGTCGTTAAGCTTGAGTGGCTTTAATGAGTATTTGTTTGTTGTTGTTTTATGTAGTAGTCGCATTACGCTTTCATTCTAAGCATGCTCTCATGCACGAAATTGAATAAAATGTCATTTTGCTTATTTAGAAACCAGCAAAAGTAAATTTTTGTGTACTAAAGTGGGATGGAAGTTTAGAGACGCTGGTGCTTCTACGTTTTTGGGTTGTAAGTGTCTTTATTTGGGAGTTATTTTAACGCTGACTGAGTTTTATACCCTGAATTAAACTTCGCTGTGAAGTTTGTAATAGCCAGCTGGAAATGTTAAGGATCCTATAAAGCACATAATGTATTAGACCAGCATGACGAGCTGAGTCGAACTAGTCGCGAACTAGACTTACTATTTGAGATAACGATCTGAAATTTTGCAAGTGTTCCTTTCTCCTCTAAAAGTTACTCTTGTGTCGATATCGTCGATATTGGACTACTACAGCATATAGCTGCCATAGAAACTGCACGATTGAAATCAAGTCCTTGTATAAAAAACTTTTTTATTTTAGAAGGTGTCTTAATGAAATAAGGCACTGATTGTTATCCACAGTAGCTCTATTGTTTTCAAAGAAATTGTTCAGATCGGATCAGTGTGGCCTGTAGCTGCCATACAAACTGACTAATAGAAATTACGTCCTTGTATGGAAAACTTGTTTATTTCACGAGATATCTTAAGAAAATTTTGCATAAATTATTATAGCAGACAACGCCATAATATTCGAAGAGATTTTTCAGATCGGATAACGATAGCCTATAGCTGTCATACAAATTGGCTAATAAGAATCCCGTCCTTGCATGGAAAATTTTTTAATTTGACTAGATATCTTAACGAAATTTGCCACAAATTATTACTCCCGACAAGGCTACATTATATGGAGGTATTTTTAAAATCGGACGACTATAGCATATAGCTGCCATACAAATTGACCGTTCAAAATTAATCTCTTGCAAGGAAACTTCTTTACTTGTGAAGGGTGTTATAGCTTCAATGCAACCAATGATAACAATTTTTTTTTTTTTTTTGTTTTACTTTTATGTAAAACCCTTTAATTTGTTTGATACCTGCCAATATAATTTTTTATGTATTTTATACTTTTTTCATCAAAAGTTTTTTTCGCATTTCCCAAGCAAAAATTAAAAAAAAGTTTCTCTACTTTTCACTCTAATTATGCTAAGAGCTGCTAATTCACTCTGCAAAAGGAAAGTTTTTCTTACGCACACTACGCCAATTTCGCTAAAAAGACCCCACCACAATACAAGCAAACACAGAAAATTAATGTAATTAAAAATCACTTATACGCCCTGTAGCACCAGCGGCATAAACACAAAAAAACTTCACTGAGCGGCTTTGCTTTTACAATGTTTTTTCTGGTTATGCATTTTAGTACAATTTTATTGTGCACTTATACGAATATATTATTTGTATACTTTTGTTCCTCATTTGCTTTGCTTGTGAGTTGTAAGTGCTTTTTTATTGCAGACTTCAAGCAGACGGTTAATAAAGAACAGAACGAAAATTACATAAAATGAAAAAGAAACATGAAAAAATTAATAAGAGATTACAAAAAAAATTAAAGGAAAGAAAAAAAAATTTGTTTTGTTTTGTTTTTCCTTTCGCGATTTGTGTGAGCGTGAAGAAACCTAATTAGGCAAGCGCATAAAAAGCTAATAACCACTATAGCTGCAATAAAAGGAGTACACAGAGGGGTGATCATCAAAGCAATATTGTCGAGTACTAAGTTTGAGAGCGCACAGGTAGAAAAGCGAGAGTAAGCAGAAAGAGCATGTTAGTTAAAGATTTAAACAGAAAAAAGCAGATGTGCAGTTGGTCTAATGGAAACGCGCGCTCATTTTGTGGCAACGAGATGGAAGATAGATGAAAGACAGTTGAAGTGTAGTTACTTTCTCCAAAAAAAGTGTGCATCTTCATACACATAAATGTTAACTATTTTTTATATTCAAAGAGGCGCTCATACACTTTCCTCTTACAAAAGCTCTGCTAAAAAATGTATTAAATTTAATTATTTTTATTTATTTTAAAACTTCATGTTTTCTAACACTTTTCACAATTTTCTGCTATTTCCAGATCTCCCCTCGTCATCATCCTCCCTGCATTCCACATATCACAGCAGTAAATACAATACGAATTGTACAAACGATGAGACAATAGTGATAGAGCCTGGCTGCGAAATCACCAATAAACGCTGCCAATGCTGGCCAACGTTGCGCGTGTGTAGCACAAATAGTATCGACGATACGGATGCACCGGCGACGACAGATATACGATGGCATTTCAAGACCTTGGAGGTGAGTGAAAAATAGTTAGTTGTATAAATTTGTATATGTATGTAAGTCATATATTTATTCAGTTGACGCCTAATACTGATTGTATACAAGCAATTTATAGAATTAGGATTTTTTCGTTAACAAAATACAAAATAATATTTTTAGTAATTATAATTTTGTTGATAAAAATTTTATTTGGCTTTTGACTTATCTCTTTTTTAAATTATTTAATTATTTTTGTTAATTTATTAGCAGTCGGTTAATCATCGGTGATTATGATAAAAAAACTACCCACCCACATTTAGGCTAGGTATTAGATTTTTGTCGTGGTCATCGCTGATACACTGCCAGCCAACGTGCTAAAGGAAATAAAATTTATTAAAATTAATTAAAAATGTAAATAATTATTTTTTGTTTATTAAATTATACGTACATTTT